AGATGCCACAGCACTCTACCCAGGGCAACAGCTTGAGGCTGTCTCAAAAAAAAAAACCAAAAAACAAAAAACAACGAGAACAAAAAAAATCCCCAAACAACAGACTAAAAACCTTGTTTAACCCTTTTTTGATTCACAGCTATGTAAGAATATGTAGAAAGAACAACTAATTAGATGTACATCAGTTTACTCTGTATAAAAAAAGGAATGAATCTAAACAGAAGTTACGATGTCTAAATTATGACAACAGCAAAAATAAACAGATTATGACAACAGCCTCAGTACAAATTATGGATGTAATTGATCTTATGCCACCTACAATAATCTACCAAGTACCCTACTACGGGACAATTCTTTATAAAGTAACCTCCCTTAGTTAGCAACTGTATTCTGCAAAGCAAAGATTCGTATAAGATAGCAAGAATCTAACCACCACCGTTTTCCTCCTTCCATTTTTATTTTTTGAAAAAGGTTAAGATTATAAATATTAAAAACTTAAGTCTGAATGGATAATGAATATCTGGAACATTCAGCTGTTTCTTTTTCATCATATTCAATACTTTGCAAATTTTTGCATCATTAACAATTCACATGAAGTTGGCCATAAACCAAACATGATAAATGCTACAAGACATTCAAAAATTAATCTTATATTACATGCTCAGAGCCAAATCTCTTGGCTTGTAAAGCATAGCTAAAAGGAACAATTTTATTGAAGAGTTTAATTGGAATACAGTTGAAGACTACACTCTTTAAAAGGGCAATTTACACACATCCCCACCCCCCAGTTAAGAGGAACTTAATTCAGGTTCAGCTCAGATCTCACTCCCTCCAGGAAGCTCCTCTGGGAGGCCCAGATCAGGCAGATCATCTATGTGCTCTCCGTGTTCAGCCTTCATCTACTCAACTCCCCATTGCCCAAGCCACACACTAATCTATCACACTGTTTCATATGCAACTACTTTCTTAGCCATCTGCAACCTCCACTGAACTAAAAGCTCTATGAAAGCAGAAAAGGTATTTTCTTAACGTTCTATCCTCTGTGCCTGCACTCACTATGCCTGGCACGTGATGGGTAACTGAAACATTCTTATGGTGGTACTTTACCTGCTCCATTGTTCCACACCCCTGCTGCTGAGGGAAATTTGAGATATTCATGGTATTATTCTTAAAGCTTCTTAAAAGGAACTCAAAGTCATATAATTTTCATTGTCCCTGGGACCACATTACAAGCAGGAGATCTAACTAAAAAGAGTTGATGGGGCTGGCATCTCATTGCTGGAGACATCTCTGTGGAGGGCTGGGGGGGATTTTAAATTCCACTGCAGCTGGGCACGGAGACAGAAGCACAACACTTTCAACCCCCGTCAGACCTCCCAGAGGAGGACTCCAGACCCCAGAGTCAGGCCTTCTCCACTCAAGTCTCTGGCTCACCCTTGCTTATTTCCTATTGACAATGTCTTTCCACGGGAGAAACCAAAGAATTACCCATGCTGAATATTTACTGGTGTCAACAAAGTGAAGGAAAAAGAAATACCCAGAGGAAACTTTCAAAGAAACTAGCTTTAGCTCCTGCTAGTTGGTTTGGGGCCAACAATTTTTTTGTTTTTTAATTGGTATATCGAGTCCCACAAGAGTGAACATGCTTTCACATCTCTGAAAATGCTAACTTTAAACCTCGAGAGTAACCCACTTTGAGAGTGAGGATGACCCAGAGGCTGGAATATTAGCTATTACTGCAATGACCGAGCAGAAGCTGGAAATAACGCAGTCAGGAAAACCTGAGAACGTGCCAGGAGGACCCTCCAAAGCCTCATCACCACCTGCTGGCACTCAGTCATACAGCTTACGAGGGGCAAAGAACAAAGGCGATGGAGACAAACCAGCAGGACCCAGAAGAACTTCACTGTGCTGCAGTTGTCAACAGGAGTAGCAACTGCTACTGTCAAAATTCTCATGTGATAGACCCTAATTACAGTCTTCTGAACACTTCTTTATCTAAAACAGCTTTGGTTTTAGCATGCATACATCTTGATTCATTACCACTGAGGGAACTGTAAACAAGGGAAGAGGCAGAAAAATTGAAATTAAAGTATAAATAGAAATTAAATCTCCTTCATCAATCAATTAATCAATTCAAATATTTCAGAGCCTTCTCTGTGCCCATGTCAGTAATACTGGGAGTAGAATACAGCTTGGAGATGTATTGGTACAAAAATAAATGAACAAACAAAAAGAACACACAACAAAAAATGTAAAGACAATGTCTAGCTATAAAAAATATACAGGGTAGGCTCAGCACCTGTAGCTCAGCAGCTAGGGCACCAGCCACATACACCAGAGCTGGCGGGTTCAAATCCAGCCTAGGTCTGCCAAACAACAAAGACAATCACAACCAAAACATAGCCGGGCATTACGGCAGG